GGAGCCGCTGCCGGTGTCCCGTGCCGGCTCGGGCCAGCGCTCTGCTCCCTGCCGCGCCCCGTCCCGGCACCGCCGCGGCTTCCCAGGGGTGAAAAAAATAATTAAGCTTCTCTAGGAACAGTGTTCTGCTGTTTCTTGATGAGTGTTAATCAGGTGTTTGCGCGGAGCGTCGCTGCCGGCCCCTGCAGTCTCGGCATTCCCCATCCCCTGAAGCCGCGAGGCCACTGGAGGCGGGCATTGCTCGCTGTCGTTCTCCTGTCGCGTTAACGGGTGACAAACGAGGGTGCCCGGGCTGTCCTCGGGGTCTGCTCGGCACACACTCGGTACTTCAGCAGCCCAGCTGTCTCTTGCTACAGGCGTCTGATGCTCGCTTTAGCTGGGTGTTCAGTGGTCAAAGGTAACCTCGAGCGATCCCTCCGGACGCACAGAGCATCAGTTCCGGCTGCTTTTGGACGCTGCAGCTACTGGAAAAGAGGATCTGAGGGTCAGGCTGCTGACAGCTGCCCAGTGAGGCTCAACAATACTGTGTCTTTACTGGGAACAGACTTTTCCTTGACCTTCTCTTTTGCCCCCCTGTTCTGCTCCTCCCCATCCCCCAAAAGGGGCCTTTTTCTCACTTGTTTGTGGTGAATCTCAAGCACTCTGTGCATGACAAAGTCCACTTGTCAGCAATATTCTTTTAAATGCCTCTGTTCTCTCCACTCCGGGGCCTGCCTGACAATCGCCCCATTATCACAGCTTTCTTATCCCATAGGTTTTTATCCTTTCCCTCCGGGGCTAATAAGGAGAAAGGCTCCAGAGAGAGGAGGGCTCCTCCTCAAGGGTTCAGCTCCTACTGAAACCCTCCCGATCTCCGGGGAAGGGCCATTATCCCGAATGTGGGACACCATCATTTGATCACCATGAATGACTTTTTGAAGCGAGGCCATTCATCAGTTGTGTAATGGGGTTTTTAGCTCAAAGACGCGGCTTTCAAGTAATTTCTGCTCCCAGGGTCCCCTGGAGCTGAACCATCTGACCGCTATCACTGGGCAGTTCACTGCTCTGCTCTCTGGTTGTGAAAGGAAATATGCTTGACACTTTCCATCAGCTCACCGATGCCCCATCCCAACACTTTCTCCCCCCCGGAATACTCTCACTCCTCCCTGTGCAAACATCCCATCCCTTCAGTGGGATGTGATGCACTTGCTTTGCTCTGGGGAGGCCTCGAGTGCTCTGTCCAGCCCCTCACAACAAGAGAGATGTTGTGGGGCTGAAACATTTCCAGAGAAGGGCACAGGTCTGAGGGAAGGGCTGGAGAAATCTTGTGTGGAGTGGCTGAGGGAGCTGGCAGGGCTCAGCCTGGAGAAAGGGAGCCTCGGGGGGGACTTTCTGGCTCTGCACAACTCCATGACAGGAGGAAAACAAGGGACAGGATGAGAGGAAACAGCCTCAAGTTGTGCCAGGGGAGGTTTGGGTTGGATATGAGGAAGAATTTTTAAATGGAAAAGATGTCCAGGCATTGGAAGCTTGGAGCTGTCCAAGGAAAGCTTGGATGTGGTGCTCTGTTCTAAGTGACAAGGTGGGGATTGGGCACAGGCTGGACTGGATGGTCTTGGAGAGCTTTTCCAACCTTCATCACTGTGTGATTCCATGATGCTGACCTCAGAAGCAAGTGGGGTGGCCATAACTTAATTTTTTGAGGCTCTTTTAATATTACAAACCACACACAGGACATCAGACTCCACAGGTACTGCAGAGAGGCAAAGCCAGACAGTGACACACCACTGTCCATTACTGGGGATGTTCTCCATGGTTATTCCATGAAATTAAGCTCACAGGACCACTGCTTATAAAAGCACACAGGTTTATTGCATATCAATCTCATGTATAAATTCATTGTAGCATTGGAAAGATTACATTTGGTATACATTCCTATTCTACAGCATTAACCTCAAAATCAGCTTTTTCTATTCATTATTTTAAAGGAATTTCTCTACACAAGTACATTTGTCTTTTATCACAAGCATCAAAATGAAATTTGTAAAATTGCCTTTTTTTTTTAATTATTTTCTACACTTCATATCTTTTATTTCATTATGCTCCCAACAAAGCGATTCCATATTAATTAATAACTGCCAACACTTTTTCTTTCTTCCTTGGCAGTTCGAGGCTTCGAGCCTCGGACGCAAAATCTAATCACATATACAATAAGTGCATCTACGGAATTTTTTTCTTTTAATAAAAATTTCACAAACGGACACAATAATGACTGCTAAACACAAGTCATGCACAGTTTACTTATAAACATAACAGAAGCAATATACAATCAAGAATGATATGGAACAAGCACCATCCTCTTTCTCAATGTTTTTTAAACATTATATGAAAACCAGACATTTACAATTGATTTAAAAAAACACTATACAGGTCTAAAGGAAAAAAAAAATCCAACCTAAATCATATCTGTATTGTAACAATGGGAAAAGGAATGACATAGGATGCACAGATTTATGATTCTTGCAAGCACAATATATATATGTTTTAAATTACATCTTCTGCAGGCTGGAAATGACATCAGGGCAAAACATCTCTTGCTTTGAAGAGAGCAACGAGAATGTAAAATACACTGAGAATTACTTTCAGAATTACTTTGTTCACATGTGAATTGCACATTTGGAAAATCAAAGCTGCCTTTTTTTTCTTTTTCATTCTTTTTTTTTTTATATTTTTTTAATTATTTTTAAATTTTTATTTATTTATTTTTTTAAATTTCTTCTTCCAAAGTGGTAATAAGAATTAACGACAGAAGAAAGAGAAAAAAAGAACCTCGGAATCATTCAAGAACGTTTTAGTCACAGTTTCACTCAACACTACGGAGAAGTTTCATGGCTTTGTGAGAACACTACTGACCACCGGCGAGGAGCAGAGGGTTTTGCCCTTGTGTTGCCATCACTGACCCGAGCGATGCCGCTCCTGCCCTTGGGGACAGCGCTGCCACCGCGGGCAGGCTCCCAGCGCTGCCCCTCGCCCCCCGCCACACACACACACAGTACAGCACGGAAAAACCGAGTGGAAAGTCAGCAGATCGACCTGGGCGGGGGCACGGGGGGCTCACGATCCAGTGCTTTGATGCTTAGAGTCAAACACGTTCAGCTCATTGTGCAAGCGCTTTCGAAAGGCTCCGTCCGCGCCACGGCGGCGAGGAGCTGCTCCCAAGGGTGGCCACTGAGTGTCTAAGTGCTGACTGGGGATGGGGCCAAGCTTCCTCTGCACTGTCCGAGGGAGGACAGGACCCCAGCAGGTGTTTGTCCTGTGAGCACACCCAGCTGGTGTTTGTTCAGCCCCGTTTGGGTTTGGGCTCCCGTGTAGCGACGTCCCCGAGGTGCCCGGCGAGGCAGGGCCTGGTGGCCTGGGACAGCTTGGAAAGGCACCAGCCCAGAGCAGCTGGAGCACCAAAGGGCCCATCCCAGGGAAGAAGCCAGCAGCCCAGCAGGAGAACTGGGTGCCTCAACATGTCCTGCAGGACCTGGCACCTCAGCACGTCCTGTGGGACAACCTCAGCTCATCCCACTGGAGAGCTCCCAGGTGTCTGCAGCAGCCACAGCGATCATGCCAGGACCAACCACCAGCTCTCAGTTGGTGGGAAGCAGGGAAGCACAGACACAAGACCCACATTCTCCTTCCTGAACAGCTCAGGCAGGAAGGCCCGGCTGTGGCCAGAGAAAGGTCCCTTCACGGAGCACCAACGCTTCAACCCTGTGCAGCTCCCAGCCCCACCTGTCCACTCCAAAAATCCCCAGGGCTTCTTCTTCTCTCCCCTGTGCTGTTGTGGCTGTGAAAATACTTTAAATAAATAGATCCTACACAAAGCTCTGGGTTTAAACCACACCTGGAGCAGTGCTCTGGCTAGCAGACACACCGCAGCCACTTCCCATCCCTGCCACCTTCACCTGCCCTGGATCCCAGTGTGTCCTTGGGGTTGGACACTACAGCTCCACGTCTCACCAAAGCTCCCAGAGCCACCCCAGCATTGGGAAGGCAGCAGTGCTCCTATAGCAGAATGTCCTGGACACAAACCTGTCGGGAAGCAGCCTTGAAAAGACAAGATTCTCTGCTAAAGCAGCAAAACGGAACCTCCACACCTGCTGTGAGCTGCAGCATGTTCCAAGTGCAATCCAATGAAAGGTAGAGATTAACAGAGGTTCAGTAAAGTCTTCCTGTTTCTTTATCTTAATGGGAAAAATTGAAACTTGTAATCAGTGCTAAATTAGAGGAGTTGGGAGATCCTACAACAGAAGCTAGAGGTAATGGGGAGAAAACTGGATTAGGAAATATGAAAAGAAAAAAAATATCATTTCATGATTTTAAACCCTATATTTTTAATGTCCTCAATCCCTGGCTGGATAATACCTCCCTATCCTTGGCCAGGGGCCTTCAGGAGATCCATGGATGAGCCGGGGAAGGGGGACAGAGACAGTGCGAGCTCAATCAGAGGAAGGACCTGACCAGCTGCTTCTGGAGAAATGACACAACTGGCAGCAGGGCTTAGAGAGGGATGGGGAGACCATAAATAACCCAAATACATCCCCACAATAACACTTACATTCCTTAGTACTGGCCCACATTTTGGTGTCCAGCTCATTGCCACTCCCTTGGCTGATCTGTTACCTCCCTGTGCTGCAGAGTGCAATGCTGACCTGCCCTAAGGTTTCTTCCAGGGTGAACAAACCATGGTGGGAGCTCACAAACGCTCACTGCTGCCCACAGATCCTGTTCCTGCATGGCAGGCAGGGCCTGTGAGAGAGAGGCTCAGACACGCGGTTTGCTCCGAGCAGCTGCCAGGAGTCACGGAGCTGCAGCTGGAGTGGGACAGGATGGATCCATCCCCAGGTTTAAGGCTATTTCCATGTTCTCCTGGAGCAGGGCCATCGAGGCAGGGCATCTCCACCGGCCTCCTCCTCCTCCTGTGCTGCTCCCAGTTGCTGGAATTTTGGTCCTTCACTACATACTTATATTAACATGATTTCTTCACAAGAATGATATCTAATGTAATAAGAAAATACTGTTAAGGAAGAAATAAAATAAGAAAGGAATTAGCCCAAAATGCCAAGTTATATACAGATTAAAATAAATTCCATCAGGAAAAGAAACAATTCTTTTATTATTTTCAGTTGGCCCCTGTGGGAATAATTTAAAGGCCAAGCACCTGGGCAGGGCTGTGCTGCAGCCTCTGGGATGGGACAGGATGGGACAGGAGGGGACAGGGCTGTCCCCCTACTCTGCAGAGCCGGGATTCCTCCGGCAGGGTCGGCTCTCGGGCTCTACCTACCCAGGAGCTTTGTGCAAATACATGAAGCAGCTCGGTCACACCTCCTGGTGCTCTCAGAGCTCTGGGCACTTTCACAGGTTGTTGTGGAAAACCAAAAAGGAAAGGGTAAATTTTCTTGGGAAACACACTGGTGCTGCTAGTTTACCTTTTGTTTCCTCCGTACCAAAGCCACCCTGGATTCTTTCCTGTGGGGGCACTCTGAGACTCCCCAAAATCAGACTCGTGTGCTCTTGGGTGCAAAGCTGACTTGCAAAGGTGTCACACCCAATTCTGACTCTGCTTTGCTCAGGGAGCTGATCCCGTTGTTTTGGCCTGCTGGAATGAGGCTTCCCACACTACACTGGCTTGGAACCCTCCATCTGCCCTTTTCCATGGCCTAACCATTCCATAAGGGAATGTCATCTCCAAATTCCCTGCTCCAACAGCAGATGGGAATTGCAGCCGAGAACAGCAAAAAGCCCACAGCATTTGTGGAGGCTGCTGTAAAGCAGTAGAGAAGATGAAGTTTTGAAGTGATTGGAAATCACTCATAAAATCTCTGTAAGAAATTTTAGAGTCAGAGAGACAACTGGATTCTCATTGCTCTGCACCCCTCAGGCTGCTAGAGCATGGAAATGTTCATCTTTCTACTTAAATTACAGGCCAAGCAGCAGCGGGCGGTGCAGAGGGAAAAGCCAGGCCAAAGGAATGGTGTGAATCAGAGATCTGTGCCACAGGCACCACCAGGACGGGGTGATGGCACCCTGAAACCCCAGGAGGTGACACACGAGCAGATGGGTCCGAGCTGCCCTGGGTGAGGCGAGCCTTGCCCAGCACACGTTTCCTTATGCACATCCGGGGAGGGCTTTATCCCCTGACCTCTCTGCTTGGGGAAATCCAAGCATTTCCAGGAGCTCCACCACCCTGGCTCTCTCCTGGGCACTCCAGCCCATGCTGGGCTCACAGGAGGGACAGGGAGCTCTCCCAGCCTTGCTCAGGGCACAGCCGACCATCTGTGTCCATGTGACACATCTGTCACCCCAACCTCAGCACGTTCCAGGCTGGAGGTGTCTCAGCTGGGAGCTGCATGTGGCTCATGATGACTGCAGGCAAGGTGGCCTCACCTTGGAGCTTTGCTCAGTGCCAGTGTTTTGCTGGGAACAAAGGACACGATGGTGTTTCTGTGGGAGTGCAGAATTCTGAATTCTTCTTTTGGGGGGTCAGTTAAATAGGTTGATTTGCCTTTCCCTGGCATAACTCCAGTGGCTGTGTCAGAATTGCACCAGGGACAGGTCATACCTGGCTCTCTTCCCTTGATGCTTCACCAATTCAGCTGGATGGGAAGGAAATGCTGCCATGTGGTTCCAAGCTATCGTTCCTGCTCAGGCTGTGCTGGCTCAGTGACACTGGTTTGGAAGGTTGGAGTGGCCTATCTTTGATTGCACTGGTGCAATTCGTGTCTTGCTCATGCTATTCCTACAGGCTGTGAAATTCTGGGGCTGCTTCGGGGTTATCCAGTTTGGGAGAGGTTTGTTCTGATAAATTAGAAAGGAAAACTCTGGAGAGATAAAAATGCAGGACGTGTAGGTCGGATGCGACAGGTTTCCTTCTCAGCCCAAAGTCCAGACGACTCCCTGAGGCCCTCTCATCCATCTTCTGCTCGCTGGGATTTTGCTGGGATGGCTGCAGCACCACTGCTGCCTCGCCTGGGCTCGGCCAGTGCCTTGTGGACCTCTCAGAGGTGGTTGATGGGGTTAAAGGTCCCCGACTCTGAAGCTGCTCCTGCCATGTCCAGCCAAGCCCCCAGAGAGTTCTGGGAGGACGTGTGGAGGGGAGCATTCTCAGACAGGGACAGCATCATTGCATAAGCCTGGGGGAGAGAGGGATGCAAAGACATGAGTGAGAACACGGGATGGAGAAACACCCAGTGTAAAACACAGCACCGCCTCACCCTGCCCAGCTGGGCCAGCAGCATCCTCGGTGCTGGCCTAAACTCACATCCACTCTCTGGGATGGCACCCACCACTCAAAATTCCAGATTTGTCATGGTTTTTGGGGACAGTCAGGAGAGACCATAATTCTCACAGGTTTTCACAGGACTGAACCCATCCTGCACTGCCTGTGCTCGGTCACAAACCTCCACATGATTCCAGGTTCTGCTTCCAGGGGAAAACAGCTTTTACTGGGGCTTGTTCTTAAAAAAAGCACATCCCCAGACAAGCCAGTGGCTCAGTGAGGCTGGGCTGGGGGAGCAGTGCCCTGGGAATGGGGCAGCAATGCCCAGTGGGAAGTGGTGCTCATCCTGACTTGGTGCCTGGCATGCACGCACTGGTGATGCCAGTGTGGATATTTAGGGATGTGGAATTCTCATTGGCATGATTGGGGTGGTCAGGGTGGGTTTATTGCCACAGTGAAACCCTTAAAGGTGTCTGCTGAGAGAAATGCAGCGAGACTTTATCCTCTAAAAAACTGCTGGTTCCTTGGAAGATGCCTGCTCTCCTTCCAGCAGGACACAAGATTGGTCTCCCACACCTCTCTGTGCCCCCTCAGCCCACATGAGTGATGCAAGGGCTTAGGCAGATGATAACCTCATACAGCAGAGGGGAAAACCAATGTCATTGTCACCCATGGCCTGAAAATGAGAACTCCCCACCCTCCTGGCCCAGGGAAGAGGTACAGTTTTGTGCTTTTGTGGGCACACACACTTCTAAAATTGCTTAAAACTAAGCAAAAGGAGTGCTGTGCTGCTCACACAAAGGTTTTATATTACCTGCCAAAAGATGGGTCAAATAATTTAAGTTGCTTACTGTGATTCAAGTGTAAAACAGAGTCCAAACCCAGAAATACTTTCCCCCATCCAAGCACAGGCTGTACCAGGGTGGTACACTGGAAAAGAGCAAGCTGCTCCCAGAGAGTTAGTGCATTTGGGATGTTAGTGACAGAAAGAGTTGGGCAAGTGTTTAAGTGGGTGTCACCCCAAAAAACTGCTTTGCTCTCTCTTCCAGCAGCCCCTCCCCAGCCTCACTGCTGGCACCCACTATGAAGAAGGAAAAAAAATTTTCAAGTTATGGATGATGCTAATTCAAAAACCATGTTCTGCCTGGTGTCTGCACTAAGCTACTGCTCTGCTGGACATTTGAAATAGATTTTGGGATAAATTCTGTTGCTTGAGGGTCAGAAAGGGCCTCTGAGGTGAGAGCTGTACTCACACCCCCACCAGGGGCCGTGTTCTCTCTCCAGCCCAGCCTGCTGAGGTAACTTCACTGAACAATTCTTTTGTGAGAATCCTTGTGGAAGGATCAAGAGATAAACTCCATAAACCCAGCCTGGGTATTTTGGCTAATGAAAAAGCAGAAAGCACACACAGACCTGCCCCAAACCTCCAGATTTCTTTCAGAACTCCAGCAATTCTGAGATGCCATTTTGATGGTTTTTGGTGGGTCTAAACTGGTCTGGCTCACAGGGTTGGGGTTTTTCTTTTCCATTTTCTGGTTTACTTTTAGAAATCAAGGAGACAAACAAGGATAACCTCTAGACATGCCGGGTTTCAAGTACTGGATATATTATTGTCTTTCACTCTTCCTGTATAGCCCCATTCTCACTGTATAGGTTGAGATAAATCCATCTAAAGGTGATGCCCACTCCCTTCCTCCTCTATTTCAATTTGGTTGCAACAAGACACATCCATGTATGTGTTAGAATTCCTGCTGGAAAGGGTGAAAAACCTTCTGGAGGAGGAAAATAACCCTCTGGAAGGGGAACATAACCCTTGGCTGGAGGAGGCCAGCTGCTCTCTAATCCTGCTGTACATACTGGTGGCAAGCTAGGAAAACATTCTGGATATACCCACCTGGTTTTTAGCCTGCCTGTACAGAGTCTGTTTTATTGCCTCAGAGTCTAAGGTGGAATTAAACACATCTTTAACTTCAAATGCTTCCTCGGCTGCTTTGCGGAGATCCAGCCCCTTCCCAAAATTCGGCATCTGCTCCAAATCTAACAGGCCGGCTTCGTCCTCCTCAATACACCTGTACCAATGACCAGGGGAAGGGGTGACCTGTGTTAGCTCATCTGGCCCAGAGCCTGCATGCACCACCCACGGGGGCTCACGAGCCACATGCGTGAAGGGATGGACAGACGGACACGGAGACGACACGGGATGGATGGAGTGAGGAAGAAGTGGAAAGCAACAAGCAGCAGGTTCTGTCTGAGGTTCTGCACCAAAAACAGTGGTGCTTTTAATCTGGGTAAGGCATCACTCAGTGTTGTGTGACTTGTGCTATAAATGCCCCCAGAAACTGGGGCAAAAAGAGAGCTGAGCCTGTGCTGCGTGCAGCAATCTTTCATTCTGAAGGTGTTCACACATGGCTTGACCTTGGGATTAAAAATCCTTCACTTTTTATAAAATAATGGAGTCTGGTTTGGGTTGGGAGGGACCTTAGAGAACATCTCATTTTACCCTCTGCTGTGGGCAGGAACACCTTCCACTATCCCAGGGTGCTCCAAGTGCCATCCAACCTGGCCTTGGACACTTCCAGAGATCCAGGGGCAGTCACAGCTTCTCTGGGTAACCTGTGCCTCTCCACCCTCACAGGGAAGGATTTTCCCTGAAGATCAAACCTATATTTCTCCTCTTTCAGTTTAAATCCACTCCCCCTTGTCCTGTCACTCCAGGCTCTTGGAAAGAGTCTCCCTTCATATTTCCTGCACCTTCCTTCAGGCACTGGAAGGTCACCTTGAAGCCTTCTCTCATGCATGCTGGACAATCCCAGTTCCCTCAGTCTTTCCTCACAGCAGAGTTGCTCCATCCCTCTGATCATCCTGGGGCCTGCTCTGGACTCTCTCCAGCATCTCGACATCCTTCCTGTGCTGGAACCCCAGAGCTGGAGGCAGCTCTGCAGGTGGGTCTCATCAGGGCAGAGGGGCAGAATCCCCTTTTTCTCAGAACTCTTAGAACTCCACTTGAAGTCAGGAATATTTTGCTACAACTCAAAGGGCCATAGCAGCACCAAAGGCATTGCACAGACCCCTCTTCCCTTGCCCTGACCAGAGTTTTGGAGAGAAAAACAACATCTTCTGAGTTGTGGCACCCTAAAACTTCTGGGGTTTGTGTCTATTCTCCTGCTCCAGGCTCCTCAAGCCTTGGATATCATTCCAGACTCTCCTTGCAGTCCACTTGTCTTGTGTCCCCCACCACGATGAAATGGAATCTGGAGTGAATCAAACCGGAGGCATGGCATGGCTTGGAGGACAAACCCACAGCACTCACGATGCACCACAGACACGGGCAGGGGGCTGAGCCCCCCGGAACGGCCCCCTCACCTTCGGGTGTGGTCAAAGCTCATGGTGAGAGACGTGGGCTCCTCATCCTCCTCATCCTCGAATGCTCCCTGGGGCTCTGCCGTGGGTGACGCTGTCTCGTCCTGGGACTTCCCAGTCAGGCTGTCATCATCTTCCTCTTCCAGTTCTTCGTCCTCATCATCCACATCTTCTGTCTTCTCATTTGTCAATCCATGGCACTGGGAATTGCCATCAATATCCTGGATTTCTGGCCTGAAATGTTTGATTGAAGGACAGGGAGGAGGAGAAGAAGAAGAAAGAAAAGGAAAAAAAAAGATTGCAAATGTTTAATGTTGCTGTAGGACACAGAATGATTCACATGGACACAGTTCAATTTATGATAAGGAAAAGGATGATTTTATTTTGTGACTCCAGTATTTATAGATTTTTGACAATGACCAGGGATTGGATAGTTAGGTTATCACCTTCCCAATCACACTGGTCATGCAAAATGTCCATCAAAAGATGTTTCTTGGAAAGAATGTATACGCATCTATGTTTATAGTTACTTTCCTGGGGTGAAACTATGAACTATGAAAACAAGATCAAAAGGTTTAATTTTCAGGGTGACAGTTTAAGTCATGTATTCCCACTGGAATGAAAGACTTGGATAATGTTATACACAGATATGAACACAGAGACACATTTATATTTAAAATGTAACAAAGAAGAAAACCAATATGCTTCAGGCATTTAAAAATCACCCTTCACTGTTCCTAAGGGCCAATGAAAGCGTTGAGAATACACCAACCCCAAGGCTTTTTGAACTACAAATCTGTGTAGTCTGATTTAAATGCTGGGTTTTAATCTCTTAAAATTAACATTTGTGGGACAAGCAGCCTTCCTCCTTCTGTGAGCTCTGTCCTTCAACAATTTCTCTTTGAGCAATCAGCAGGAGAAAGCTTCTACCAGCCAGCCTGAATTCCCTCTTGTATTGCTCTGCTGTTCATGCCTGTCCTGTGAGCAGATAATTTTATTCCCTTGCCTACCTTTTATCCACTAAAGCCGACGCTTGATTCATCTCGCTATTTGCAATAAAATTTCTGATTTCCGAGAAATAGGAATCCTCTTTTTCGTCTAAAAGTGCATGGTTGTCTGATTCCGAGTTGGGGGAGGAGGCGCTGGTCCCGAGGTGGTTGGCGATGACTCCGGAGTGCTGACTCACTGCGGGGCAGGAGCACGGAGGGACAACAGGAGAGACAACAGGAGACCCCGTCAGGTGTTGGCAAGGCCATGCTTATGAGGAAACATGAAGTAAGAATGTTCTCAACAGCCCTCTCACTTTGTGTTACTGATTTAGTACTCAAGAGGAAAGCCATGGAGCAAAGATCCCAAAGGAAGATTGTGTTTTCCACACCAAAACACAGGTGATATTTAGTATTTATGGACAATTCACACAATTTGAGAACCAGTGCAGAGTTGTTTGCCTACAACTTTTCCATGATACTTTATTTTACTCGTGCTGGGAAATCTCTTACTTGGCTTCATCACAGGAATTCCTTCCTTTCATTTTTTATGTTAAAGCAAAGCCTTTTTATCTTGAACTTCCAGAAAACCCTACAAACAACCCTACAAACTCATCCTTATGGGACAACGCTTTCCAGCGAGGCTTCCCAAGGGCCAGACCATGGAGTCTCCTGTCTCCAGTGATCCCCAGCAGTTCCACAGAGTCTTTCCATACCTGGAACGTTCTCGTGCTCGTGCTTCTTCAGGTGCCTGTCCAGGTTGGTCTGCTGCCCGAAGCACCTGTTGCACAGGTGGCACTTGAATGGCTTCTCCTTGTTGTGGATGTTCCGCACGTGCCGCTGCAGGTTGGAGGAAATGCTGAATGACCTGTCACAGTATTTACACCTGGAAAACAACAGCAAAATGCCAAAGAGTGCAATGTGAGGGGGAGAAAAAAACCAATCCAACAAACCCCAAACAGCAACAACAACAAGCCAAAGAAGAATAAAAAAAGAGAAAAATCTGACTATCAAAACCCCAGGAAATGTTGGTCTATAAATCTTTACTCAGCTAAAGGAAGCACAAAGCATTAATCATCCCAGAAAAATCTGATATTATTGTTACTCAAGGAGCACAAAGAAAGGATTAGGTTTAATTAGGAAGTGAGTCGTCCAAACAAATAAGAGTTTGAAACAAAATAATTACTTTTCCATGCATGGATGTAGGAATGAGAGAGGTGGATTTATTCCTTCCACTTTTTTTGAGAGGAATCAGGTGAAATATAGCTGTGGAGGGAGGACAAGGAAGATAGAAGAAGAAGGGAGGGAGGTGAAATGTATAAAATAATTATTAACTGGCAAATCCCTGCATGACAGTTAGCTGGACACAGAAAATTCTGGCTTTATTTGTGAAATTCCTTGTGGTACTGGACATGAATGGACTACAGCATGGCTTTAAAGGTAATTATAACTATTCTTATAGCAAAACAGCTCCCAAGAAAGCCACCATCCTTTCCAAACAGGGTAAGATTTACTCCTAGGAGTGAATATCTGGTTTATGATGAAAAGCTGGAATGCAAGGAGCCAAGCCAGGATATTCGGGAGAGCTGCTGAGTGAAGAAATGTTCCTTCTCCGAGCTCAGTCTCTGCAGGACCCACGGCAGATGGGCTGGGGGCTTGTTCAAAGCCAACACCCCCCCTTTTTTTGCCTTTAGATTCTCTCCAAATAAATTGTCCGGAGTGGTGTTGGGAGGCAGAGCGGCAGCCGCTGATGGACTGAAGGTGGCAGCTCCGAGCTGCGGTGGAGAGTTTGGGTCTAAAACTCCTGAAAACCTCATTTCTGCCAGAACTCGTCGAATCCCTCATTACATCTCCCTTTAAACACGTCACTTGTACCTCAGCAAAGCTGCTCCCCCACGGGGCTCTGCTTCCAAACCCCACGAGCAGCAGAATCTGTCTCTGCTGCAGAGCTGTGCAAAGCCTGGACACTTCCAAAGTTCAAACTCTTCCCAAACCCTTGTAATTCCAGAACAAATCCACTCCAGCAAGGCTTCTCTGAGCTCCTCTGACCCAGGGCAACACCTGCCCCACGGACATGAGCTACTCCTCAGTGGGAATCCTGGATTCCATAATGGTTAGGGGACTCTAAACCCCATCCAGTGCCACCCTCTGCCATGGACAGGGGCACCTTCCAGAGTCCCAGGGTGCTCCAAGCCCCATCCAGCCTGGCTTTGGACGCTCCCAGGTATGGGGCAACCTCTGCCAGGGCCTCTCTAGCACTCCAAGACACGGAGATGGAGGCTTTGGGAATATTAGTACAGACTAACCTCATGCCTGCCTCCCTCAAGGATGGAACTGGGTTTGCCTGGACACAGAGCACATGGGATTCTTCCCTACAGACACAACAGGTTCAACTGTGAGTGGAAAAGATCCCCGCTGTGAAACACACACACCCCATTTCCAGATGTGCTCCAGCTGTGATTTTTATTCGGCCTCTAAAAACAAATCGATATTATTTTTGGAGAAAGTGGGGATATATTTATGAAACACTCTCTTTCGCTGAATGTTTATGGATTCCATGCTCACCTCCGAATTTCCTACTGCTAAATCTCCTACAAGAATAAAGACATTTCAAATAATGGGCCTTTATTAGGATTAACCAAGGGAAAGAGCAAAGACCCTTTTTAAACCACAGCATTTCCAGACTCCTAAAGTCTTTCGTTTTCCCTTTATTTTTTTTTTTTTTTCAAAAACCCCCAAATAACTCTAGAAAACAAGAAGTTATTTGAACATCAGCAAGAACAATCACAGTTTCTATGTGGAGAGTTAAACACAGATTTCCAGCACCAAGGAATTTGCTCAGATTCCTGTTCAGCACTCCAGCAAACTGCAATATCCAAACCTGCCAATATCCCTGCTATTCCATGGGATTTTAATGAGTGGTTTTGTCCAGCTTAGACCAGGAGCCCCTTTCTCATCCTTGCTGATGCCAGGGGTTTTCTCTCCCTGCCTGTCCTCACCAGCTCCTAAAAACCACTTTTTTTTGTGTGTCCCAGTGCCTGGCACAGGGAATACCTGGCACAGTGGGCATCAGGATAACCCATGTTCCCAGCCTGGCTGTCCCTGCCATCACCCCTAGGAGCAGCTCCAGGCATTCAAAGGCAGCTCTCACATGCCCAAGGCACGAACGACCCGGCCTCCTCCACGTCCATTTATTTAGATGTTCAGGAAGCCTTTGAAAAGTTCCCTGTGACAGGTCCTCGCCCTAACCATGAGCTATGTGGATCCAGGGTCGGGAATGGGGAGGGATAAAGAGCTTGTTAAAAAAATAAGAACCAGAGGGGCACTGGGAAGGAGCAGCGAATGCCTGGGAGCAAAGGGATGAGGGAGATGTCCGGTGTTATTTGTGGTCCCAGAGGGGTCGGTGCTGGGAGCTCTGCTGGTTTTAATCTAAATAAATGGCCCAGGCAGAGGAACCAGCTTAAATTCAGGGAAAGGGGTGAACAGTGAGGGAGGAGCAGAATGAAACTCAAAGGCAGCGGTATTTGCTTTGCAAACAGCCCGACAAAGCTTCTCCCTTATCAGCTTCAAGGGCTGAAAACATCCCAAGTGGGAGGGAGGGACAGCAAGGAAGGAGCCTGGGCTGGAGCTGGGGAGCTCTGACAGGAAATCCTGGGAGCTGAAGGAGCTCTGGAACCTGGGATAACACGGGAGAAAGCAGGGAGCAAACGCTGGGAATGTGGGAAGGAATTCCTGAGTCCCTCTCACTCAGTTTTGCATTGATCAGTGTGAGCTGAAGAGACAGAATTGCAGAAAAAACCAAAAAACCACATGGACAGCAACTCTCCCTCAGAATGACTCCTCAGCCTCAAGTGCATTTATAGCAGGGGTGAGCTCAGGCTGCATTTTGAAAACCAGCAAATGAGAAATATCTTCAATATTTATTGAACTATGCAATTAGGTGACATGGTAGATATCAACTGTGGCTGTGAGTTCCAGCTTAATGCAGATAACAGGACACGAGGCCTCCAAGGGCCTTTTTATCACTGAATTCTGAAATACATAGTCCTGAATTTCGGGTTTGGTGCAGGAAAAAACAAAAAAAGAGTGAAAAGAAACATGTTGAATTTCACTGTATGGCACAGGGGCCAGTGTTTTCAAATCACTTGATTTTTAAGAAATTCACCACCAGGTATTTATCGCGTTTCAGAAAACACATTTCATTTTCCTTTTATAAAAAGAATCTGCCTCCTTATTGCTCATTTGCTATTAATTCCTACTTTTTACATAATTACACACTAAGGAAGTTTAAATGACTTTATAGCCACACCCAAAAAATCTCCAAAAAACCCATCACTTAATCAGTGACCGTCAGGAATCAAACCCAAAACACCTTATTTTCTGACCTGTTGCCTTTAAGAACATAGTCATTAATATTTTGATTAATATTTTGATTATTATTTAAATTATTATCTATAAATACATTTTTATATAGGGAAGGGTAAAAAAAATAAACAATCAGAAGCGAAGTTGCAAAGGAGACAACAGTAAAACACTGAGAAGTCAGCAACCTCCTTTTACCTGCCTGAAGTCAGCACTTAAAACCCAAGCTTTCAAAACAAGCCTGGCTGCCAAAGCTGCAAATCTCAGTTCTCAGAGAGGAAAAGCAAATCAATGATAATTAAAGCTCGTCTGTAAACGCAGCCCCGGCTCTCCGGAGTGCTGTTAGAATGCAACATTGTCCAGGAGTCAGACCTCTAAAAATCCCACACAGGCTATTTTCTGGGAGAAGACCAGATCAAATAAATCTTTATTTTCCTAACCTTTGTTAAGTTGCAAGTCTCCTTTTTTGGAAGAAAACTGAACTAACGATCTTGGAATAATCGGGAGCGAGCGTTACAGTGGACAGGGAACACACAGGGCCCTTTCAGGCATATCAAATAACACAACCCCAAACATCACAGCAGGGAATGGATCCAAAATATATGTCTGCTTTGGTGGGGGGAGGTGGTGTATTTTAAATTTACCTAATGTCTACACTAAAAATGCTGGATGGAAAATGAATGTGATTCTCAGCGTAGCAGGGATTACAATGTGGGAGAGTCAATTCTTAGGTTAAACTGAGCATAAAAATGTGATGTATTTGACCACATGGCCTTTTGCTGCTCATAAATTTGTGTTTCTCTTTATTTAATAACTGCTCGATTTGCTTTGCTGTGAACTTATGGCTGTGTATGAAATGCTGCAGTATCAGCTACCCAAAATGAAATGGAATTGTTACCATTGTTTGACAACCTGCAAAACACTGCCTCACATCATGGCAAACACAAGGCTTGATTTGCAGCAAGCTCTCGATGCATCATTCCTTCGGGTTTGCTCATTTCTGGACCTCATTCTAACAAAAAAAGGGCATTTTTCCCCCAAGTTTTTTGAAACTGCTTGTAACGCACTGGGAGAAAATGCTGGGGGGAAAGATTTCCATGAGAAATAGTTACTTATATACCTAGGCACACATATTACATATATTTCTGGCAAGTTTTATTCACATTTAAAGCCCTGACTTGGGCAGGAGCCACAGAAGGCACTGGGCTGGGACACTGTCCCTGTGCACACTGAAGCATCAAAATCACATCACCTTGTCCCCTGCTAACAGAAAATAACTCAGCCTTCCACCCTAAACACTTACAAATGTGTGAGACTCTGTGTGAATCCCCCCCATCCCAACTCTCCTTTTAAACTCTCTGATTTAAGCTCAGACACTACCAAAATTCATTTCTAAGGCAGGTAAATCGACAGGGTTTGTCTTGCCTTTGTATTTTTGATTCCCCTACCCCAGGCACCTCTGATGTGCATTAAGAAAAGAAAAAAAAACAACCAGACTAGTCCCAGAAGTGAAGGTCCTGGCAAACCCTTCTAACCAGCCTGAATTTCAGAGCCATTCAGCACCTTCAGCTGTCCTTGAGATGAATGGTTAACGTGAGTGTGAAACAACACTGCAAATCAGAGCCCTCATTTGCCAGCATACATCTAAATATAAGTTAAGTGTCTATCTTCGAGCTGCCAAGCCTGATTATTTTTGGCTGGTACACATAATATACAACCCTATGAATCACTCTGTGTAATGCTCCAGGCCTGTGGTATTCTGCTGGCACAGAATTTTAGAGAGAGGAGGGGAGGGATACCAGAGTGGTGAGTGAGGAGTGTTTGGGAAAGGGTTTTTTATGGGGGACAACATCACCTGTAAGGCTGCTCCCCAGTGTGTGTCCGCAGATGTCTCGTCAGGTTGGCTGAGCGTGGGAAGATCTTGCCACAGTACCTGGACAGGGAGAGCCAGAGGAAACCATCAGGAGAGCCCACGGATGCCACAGCACAACCTGCACCCCTCATTCTGACACCGCTCCCCAAATCCCCTCATGTGTCTGAGGGGGGCAAAGGGGAGGACAAATCTCCCACCCCAGGGTTGCAGGGGTCACTGTGCTGACATCAGAGCACCAGGAGCAGCTGAGGGAGCTGTGAGGGCTCAGCCTGGAGAAAAGGAAGATCAGGAAGAATCTCCTCACTCCTACCCTGACAGGAGCGTGCAGCCAGGTGGGGTTGGGCCCTGCTCCCACGGGACAAGGGACAGGACAATAAGAAACAGCCTCAAATTGCACCAGAGGAGGTTTAGATTGGATGTTTGGAAATTTTTTCACAGAAAGGCTTGTCAGACGTTGGAATGGGATGCCCAGGGAGGTGGTGGAGTCACTATCCCTGGAAGTGTTCAAAAGAAGTGTGGACATGGCACTTGAAGACATGGTTTAACTACAGCATTCCTGCATCAGGGTACAGAGGGTTTAATCACTGCCTGGGCAGATTGGCACTTGAGATGTTTCTGCATCTCCTTTATAGCCCCATTGATGTGCTCATCATATGGAATCTGCTCTCTCATCCTTGGAATTCACAGAATTTTCTCTAGATAAAGGCTGCAGCACTGTGCTATGGGCTAGGAGGCTGACAGGCTGCTAATAGCAAGAATATGCAGCCATAGGAAATTAATAAAGGAAGGAATTGTGTTCCCCAATAAATCCAGTTCACGGTAAAATCAAAAAGGTATAAATAAAAACACTAATTGGGAAATATAGATCTAAGGATGAGGGGCTGCACTCGGTGTCTATGAAAACTGTTGTAGGAGGAAACTATGGCAGACTTTCCTAATTTCAGAGACATTCAGCTGTCCTGAAGATGAACAGTTAATTTGAGTGCTCCCCAGCAATGGAAATCCAAATGTTCACTTGTGAGAGTGCATCTAAAATTTAAATTTAGTCCCTTTTGTAAGTTGAAACTTCAAATTTCTAAATACTCAACTGAAATCCGAGCCCACAGCTCTTGTGGCAAAGTTGGACATAAGAGACACATCAGCCAAAGTTTGTACCCACATTCTGCACCCAAAAAATCCCCTCAGCAGGAGCCACTACAAGAGCCTTCAGGTAATGACAGCACACAGAGATTTATTATTAAATACCCTCAATCTGCTCCAATTTGGAGCTGGATGGGTATGTGAGCAGTTCTGTGGATAGAACTGTTTGAAAGAGCTGTTTTCTGCATGCCATTTTTTAAAATTCAATCATTTGTTCATAGCTGAGGTTGGATGTAGCTGGGACTGGCATTGGGAACAGCATCGTTCACCGCTGCACGCCAGAAACTTGGCCTGAGGAGTTGGGTTTGCTTGAGAATCTCCAGATCTGCTCCCAAAGTTATTAAAAATTACAAAGCAAACAGAAGATACTGATTTCCTACCAGACAAAACAAGCTATTTCAGAGGGAATTAGTCATCCCAGCTCTGCTCTAATTCCGCCGCTCCTTGTTTTCCCTCCTGGCGGAGATGTTGGTGTGGAGCTGCTCCTCTCTGTGCTGGTGCCCAGTGCAGCTCCCCAGCTGTGGATGGCACATCCTGAGGTATTTCCACAGCCCGGGACGTTTCCACACCCTGGGGCTCAGTGTGGATGCCATGGGATGCCCGGCTCACCTGCAGGTGTAGCGCTCCTTGCCCTTGCGCAGGATGGGGTCGGAGAGCGTGGGTGGCGGCGATCGGAAGTTGAAGGGGTGGTGGGGAAGGGGCTGCAGGGATGAGCCAGAGTCGGCCTTCATGGCTCCAAAGCTCTCCAGTTTCTCCGTCATCGTCTCGATGGCCGACATCTGCAAGGACAAGGAGATAGCTCCTGTCAGAAAAATCCCTGGGAAGGGCAAGATCTGATGCATGGAACAGTTTCAGTTGGGCAAAACCTCCTGCTGGTGTTGGTTTTCTTGGAAGTTGGAGGCACAGTGGGAAATGGAGCCACTGAATCCAGCCAGGAAAAACAGGAGTAGTGTATTGGTCATGGAGAAAGCAGGAAAGGCACATCTGGTAAAGCCAGGCATTTAGGTCCCTGAAATGAGCACTTGTTCACTTTCTGCAGTGTGCATGTGCTCACTTTCAGCACTTCGGATCAAAAATTATCTCAGAATACACTGAGACATCCATTTTTACCAGGATAACACTGAAACTAAACACCATGGGCAGATGCCTGAGTTAGATCTCAGCACCCAAGACCAAAACAAAGTCTGGGAAGAGGGAGGTCTGATATCTCCTACAGCAACCTGGGGGCTTGGAGGAACAGGGCAGTGAGTGGTGGGTGGGCAGGCAGGGACACAGCTCCAGGAGAGGGGAAACAGGGAAGTTTTGTGCCCAAAGCAGGAGAATCCTGGCCAAAGTGGAGTGGGAGAGATGTGCAGTGGCTGCTCAGGGAGCTGAGAGAGGAGAGGCTGAGGCTGAAGGGGTGAAGAGGGAGCAGCTGGGAAGTAGATGAGTTGGGATCAGGCTCAGAATGGAGTGGGTCCACAGGAAGCTTGCCTGGTGAAGAGGCCAACACTTTAATTATGAGTAGGAAAGGTTCAGCAACTCCTAAAGGTGATGGAAGGATGGGTGGGAGATGGCTGAGTTTCCTGGAGTGAAAGGGAGCTCCAGCCAAACTCCTGGATGTGAGCGGTGGCTGGGTGAGTTACAGTCAGGAGGGACAACACCTACACATCCCTCTGGGATGGGAGCAGCTGGCATGCAGGCCTCAAGCTGGGACACCAAGCAAAATGTCCCTGGATGCTTTATCAGATTCAGTTTGTGTGATTTGGCCATGTTCCCACAGACACGAGATTAAACACCACACCAGAAAGAGGGAGAAGGGAAAAGCAAAAAAGGAAAATATAAAGCTGGACTATGTGCAAAAAAGGAAAAAATATATCTGCATAAAAATCCTGCCTAAAAACCAGCACTTTTACTTTCATTACAGAACAACAGGAAATCCAAGTCCAAGGGAGCAATGCAGCTCAGAGGACGACGCCGACTTTTCTGACGTCCAGCTTTGTGCACTCCTGAGAGCACTTTGGAGATACCAGGGGCAGAAAATAGGGATAAAACAAACAAAGCAGCAATAAAGCTGCCTCCTGGCTGTGCTGACATCACCGGGACAGGCGGGAGCTGCGGAGGCAGCCGGGGCAGCAGCGAGGAGCGGAAGGCAGTAGGAAGCCATACATCACCCTGAGATGCTCAATTGTACAGGAAGGGCTGACCTTTTGCACGTTTACACTTTATTAAACTGGGCTTTAGAAGTGGGGGGGTAGAGGGGGAAGAGAGCCAAGATATTGTTTAAAAATATACGGCTATGAAAAAAAAGTTGTCTTAATCACCCCTGAAGACATTGTGGAGGGCTGACAAGCACTCATAAGCTGTAAAAAAGAGGAGTAGTAACCCCCATTTCCCGATAATAGATCCACAGCCCCTTAGCTGGAGGCTCCCAGCCCATGATAAATAGTAAGTAATACTTAGCACCAGCCACTTGAAAAGGTTACTTGATCATTTACAGCACCAGCTCTGCCCCAGCTGCCAGTCATGCAACAAAACCATCACGTTAAAAAGCTCTCTGGACCTTTCAGAGTCGAGCTCTCAGCCCTTTGCCGAGGTACCTGGAGCTCTCCTTTGTTGTGCCCTGTTCTTTAGGCACTTAGTCAGAGATATTTACTGGCTTGAGAGCCGTAGGCTGGTTTTAAAATTCTAAACACTGGCCACGGCCTCTCCAGTGGCAAAGGCACTTTGCTATTTAGGGAACAACAGCCTGGTTATAATAAAACAGAAAAGGGGAAGAAAAGAAACTTAACAGGTGAGGAAAGGCTTTCCATTAAGTTATCAAAAAGTTACACTGGTTATTTATGTTGAACAGAGTTTCATTTGGAATAGACAATGTAGGAAAACTCCCAGAGAGCAAAGGAACTTCTGCCAATGACTGGCTAAGAAATAAGAGTTGCCTGAAATTAATTTTGAGAGAGGAAACATCTCCTGAATGCTTTTATCACATCTTCTGGCTTCATCACATCCCAGTGAGGGCACTCCAAGTGAGATGGAGATTAGTCACAGAGGAAAAGGCTGAGACCAGACTCATGTTTGGAGTGAGAAAAGCCTGGGTAGAACGTGACTCTGACTGACCAGGCACAGGAACATTGGTCCTAATGAAGAAAGCAGAAGCAGGAACCCTGAAAATGTGATTTTTTAGGAAAAGATCCAATTCTTAGCAATGCTGGATCCAGGGAATGGTCACGGCCCCATGGCTGCCAGAGCTCTCAGACACAGGGTGGAATTGTTGGGGTGTCCTGTGCAGGGCACAGGTTGGACTGGATGATCCTTCCAGCTCAGGTTATTCTGTGATTCTATACTGGAAGGGGATCTGATGGTACAATTCTCCCATAATCTGGAACAAATAACCCGTGTTCCTTTGCTGTGTCTGGAATACCTGACTGACTGCAGCATGGGAACGGCGCCTCTCCAGATCAAGTGATCTGAATCCAGCGCCCGCCTTATTAAAAATCAGTTATCAGGAAGCTTTGGGCTGGAGTGATTGTAAATTTGAGGCTATTCTGTGTGATAAGCTGTTAGAGATAACCAGACCTTCCAGATCTTTTCACTGCCATGGGAAGAGGACGTGGTCAGGATTTCGGGAACAATGTTAACAACCTTCCACCCAGAGCTTGCTCCTGCTTGGGGTCTGAATGTTTCTCATCGTCTCCTTGGGTTGCTTTGCCACTCTGGCTCCTCCCTGCTATCAGATTCTTTACAGGCAGATATCCCCACTATTCTAACTCACACAAACACAGGATGTTCCTGGCCAGCCTGTCACCATTATCCAGCCTGGATGAAGGAAAAATCAGGGGAAGTTATTAACCAAACTCTGAGGCTGGTGAGAAACAATGCGGGAACTAAGTTTAGCTGTGAAAGCAACCAGGACCCAGGTTTCACAAACCTGCGAGTTATTTATCTAAGGTGGGAAACATTATCAGGGGAGAACAATGCTTGTGAATATAAAGGAGAGCACAATGAGGACCACAGAGCTGGGATCCCAGCCTGGGCACGGCAAGAGGGACAGGGATAGCTGGGGACTGTCACACGCCTTTGGAGCAGCATGGCTGAACCCACTGCCCAGCACTTCCACACACTCCTCATGATGTGGGAAATTCAGGAAGGTAGAAAATGCTTCTTCCTTGGCGCTGGGCAGTCCTTCTCCACTTGTACCACTGCAAATGGCCCCCCCCAGGTGTTCCCAAAGGAAGAACCACGCAGGCATTCTGGGCTGTGGAAGGGGAGGTGGGCAGAGACTATGAGCTGCCCAGACCTCATCCCTGTTTTTCTGGTAATGCAAAGGAAACAGCAAGACACAACTGCCATCATCCTCAAACTGTGAATTAAATGTGTCTGGAAGGAACTGGTGGAAAATAGTGGAATTTACAGTCAGGGGCTTGGATGAGGAGCAGTCTGATCCCAGTGATCCCAGTGTGTACCAGCTCCAGCCCAGCACCCCATCAGCACATGACAGTGTCACTGCTTTTACCTGGGGGTGAAAAAGCAGCGGGGAGGGCCGCAGGTACTTCTCCTTGAGGGCACCCACGGGGTCTGTCACCTTCCGCTTCTCCACCCTGCTGGACAACAACACAGAGGGTTACATACCTCACAGGGAGCCCCACGCAGCCACACTGTGCTTAAATTACACACAAGGTTATTCTCTTACACAAACCACTTCCACCCCCTTCTCCAGGACACTACAGATTCTGATGCACAATTGTGCCACAGAAAGGGCTGGAAACAACATGAACACAAATCCCCTCCTTTGGGCAGTATTTTTTTAGCTTTCAGGCTGATGACTAAGAAAACATTTTGCTGCTGCTCTGCTGCAGTGGTTTATAAACCTTTATAAATGTCATGGAAAACCCTGCATTTAAAGCAAAACTGTCTCAGCAGGAGAAGCTCTAGGGTCCACAGCAGGCAGCCCCCACATAGAAAAAAAAAAATTCTCTTTGAGAGTTTGCATTTATCTGAAGAGTTAACACTGGCCCAGACTCTGCAGCCCCAAGCGTGCTGAAATCATTAGGTGTTTCATATTTGTTTCCTCCCTCGCAGCTGAGATGTAATTTGCATTGAGTTTCTTTGGCAAGCCCATGTGGACAACGATTTAAAAAGTTAGGGACTGGTGGGAGAATTCTGAAGTGTCTCAGAAACCCAAGTTCTTCTGATATCACTTTGGTCCAAACAAATATTTCATGTTTAAGCAACTGAGATGCAGAAATGACCCTAAAGTGAGGTTCCTATTTTTTACAATATTGGCTTTGCTTCCACAAAGTACTCTATTTGCAGGGAAACAGAGGTGTGGAATCACCAAAAAGACAAACTGAGATGTTCTCTAAGGGAAAAAAGTGTTGAGGAAGTAACTCCAACAAACACAGCTGCATCTTTAAACGGCTGGAATTGAGTCCATCCAGCTAAACAAGCAGAAATCCAAGAGTAAGAGTGATTTTAACTACATTAGTCCAGCAAAAGTTGAGAGCAAATTATTTTAGCTACATTTCAGCTGATTGGTGTGTGGATCAAATTACCAAAGAGTTTAAAGAGGAGCCTTGCCGAGTGCAGTTAGCGAACTGTGCTTAATCTGCATTTAATTCTTCTTGGGTAGACAGAGAGACAAGAGCTGGATTGGAAATACAGTCAGAATTAGGGGGCTTTGGAAGGTACGTGCTTTTATGGGTCTGAGTTGCCAGAAAAACCAAAGAATAAGTAAAAAGTTGCTCCCTGGGCCCCCCTGACCAGCACAACTTTTTTCTCCATGAGGCGCTGAAATGCCCAAGGGAACATCCCTGATCCTAGCAGAGACATCTTGGGAGAGCCCTGCCTGCTCCACATGTGTAAAATCTGGTGAATTGACAGCATTTCCCCAGCTCTGCCATCTCCCAGCACCGGGAATGGAAACACAAGGTCCAAATATCCCCGTCAGAGCTGAACTCCGCAGTGCCTGGAGGATTAAGTCGATAGTTTCAGCCCAGTGCCTGAGAACGTCACCCCCACAGGCTGAGCTAAAAACTGCCCCCATTTCAGACTGTCTGGCCGCATTAAATTATATCACCAGGAGAAAATGTCAAGGATTTAAGTGGCCTTTGGGAGAAAAAAATGAAGGAGCCAAATGATGTGAGAGAGTCTGATAAAGGGAAGTTTAGAAACAAAATATTTCCATATTTTTCAAGCTGGGACTTGGAAGCTGGGCTGCTTCGTTCATTACATCAGAAGTCTGATTCGCCAGCAACGCCACCGCTGACTTTCTATTTTAACACATGACTAAAACTATGTGCATCCCATGGAATGCAGCAAACGATGCCCCCATCCTTCATGTCCATCTGTCTTCTGGGCCTTTATGGTTTTCTCGAGGCCACTGTTTTAATTGGCAGCGGCTTTTCCAAGCCGTGTTATTTCAGCATTCCTGCTGAGAATGCCCAGAGGTGGCAGGACCCTACATGGATTCTTTTGCCTTTCTATCCCATTTATTGTATTTTGTTTTTTCCCCCCAGGAGTAGTTTTTACAAACACCATTCACACCCTGCCTGATTTCTCCAGGAGGAGATGGCCATGGTGGGTGCCAGGCAGGACATGGCACCTTCTGATCCCCATCCCAGATGGCACGATGTGGACATGCAGTGGCACGTCACCCCTGCGAGCTAGCAGAGTCAGAGACACTTGTTTAGCCAGCACTGAGGGCTCACTAATCCTCATCCCAGCCGACAGCTCCTTGGCCTGGCCAGACACTGACATCACTTTTTCCCACAGTTATCAGCCCTGCAACAACGGCTGGCGGTGACATCTGGGCTGTCGTGGTGCTCGCAGCCCTCTGAGCGCCCATCCCACCATCACACCACGGTAGCTCTGAGGCTTTTCAGTGCCAGGGACATGGCAGATCCTGCAGAGGAACAGCCATTAACCTTACAGCAGGCTGGGCACAGCAAAGATCACCACACATTGAGCACAAGGAGTGCAAGGACAAAGCATTCACCTCCACGAACTGAATCCAGGAATGCTCCAGGCACATGCACCTATCCAGCTGGATGCTGTGGAGCATTTAGACATGGTAATGGCTAATTTAGATGTGTTAATGTTTAAATCAAACTAGTTCAGGATACACCTTTTCACCTTTGTTAAAAAACAAATGTGCCATGTCCACCTCATCCAAAGGCAATGCCCAGATGGGTAACTCAAATTTACTATTACCCTCACCACAAAGTTATAATAGTTTTCCTTTGGGAACAGGTTTTATAAAAAGCTCTCAAGCAACAAAACACCAAAGTCTTCCCTTTTCGCTTCCTCCTGAATTGATTCCTTCTGGAAGTTTAACTGACATTTGGATAACTTCACCCAGCCTGCTCTACACACGTCTTCCATGTTCAGCTCATTCTGACGTAACGCATCAAGCCCTCCTCAGAACCATCTGTTCAAGTGACACCAGAAAGGCCTTGTTATCTCCCAAGAAATAAAAATCTGTGAGAAATGTATCTGGGAGAGATCTGGGTAGTAACACACTACCATGTGTTTACACAGTACTTGTTACTCCAAGAGTAACATGTTTCGGCAGGTTGAGTCTGCACCAGCAGCTCCTCCGAATGGAAAAATCCCAAGAAAAGGCATTAGAAAGGAAAAGGAAGGGAGGGAGAAAGAAAGGTGAAGTGGCTCACAAAGTCAGTCAGTGGGAGAGCTGCATTTCCAGGCTCCCAGGGCTCCTGACTCATTCCCAAGCCACGAGAGCCCGGGGCTCCAAGGCAATCTGAACTCTGCATTCTTATCAAATCAAACCTCTGGAATTTCGCCAGCAGAAGTGCCATCTTAGATGGCTCGTGGGAGAGTCCTTAAATAGGTCAAGTTTCTTCTTTAACAAAACAAGGATGTGTTCTTTACACATTGATTATGAGGGCTCCTTGGAATTACTCAGCCCTTTCCATTCAGGAAATTCAATGTATCAAAGAGGTACAAACAACAACAGGAGATGTTCACTGCTGTTCCCAACCAACCTGCATCCTCCCCTGCCTCAGGGTATGGTGTCAGCTGGAAAAGGAGCTGGTTAGGGAAAGGCTTAAGGCAGGGTATGTTAATACCTGTAGATGGGGTCCATGAAAAAGGGTGATGGCTTAGCGTAGTGCAGGGAAGGTTGCTGAGGCAGCTGGGACTGGGAAATCTTAGGTAAGACCTCGCTTGCCATCAGCTTCCTCTCCCCATAAATGTGGTTTTTCCGTGGCTCTCTCCCTCCGTTCTGGCTGGCTCGGATGCGGTTGCCAATGCTCAGATCCAGTGGCTGCTCCTCCCCTGAGGATGGGGGTGGGAGGACCTTGGGGGGCGGCAGGATTGGCTTAATCTCTTTTGGCTTCGTGGTGAGATCGAAGGGGGACTCCGAGCTGGTGCTGCCCACTTTGTGGAGGTCCCTGGGTGACTTTGGTTCTGCCTTGACCAGCAAGTTGTGATTGAGGGTCCGCTCCGTGAAAGGGTAGAGGGAGTGGGGGAAATTGGGGAGGAACTGGAAAGGGAACATGGAATGATATGGGAGCGAACCCATCTTTTTCTCCTGCATCCCCATAAAGCCAGGCCCAAAATACTTCTCTGCGATGGAGGCAATAGCTTTAATAGAGTCATTGGCTGCCCCTGTGGTGGGCAGCAGGTGCTCCTCGGGGGGCGGAAAGAAGGAATGCTGAGAATAGAAGAGAGGGATGTCGCTAGTGGTGTTGGTGGAACTCGCAGATACCGAGCTGCTGACAAAATCTGGCTTGGTCTCCATTTGTTTGCTCTTGTCTTTCGTTTTGTCCCTGTCACTCTCTGCGTCACTGTCCAGGTCAGAGCCGGTGCCAGTCGTGGTGTCCAGATCCGTGCCCGTGGTTGTATTGACATCCTCAAAGTCACTGCCATCGGACATGTCACTGTTCCTGGCTTTTAGCTTCTCCAGGTAGGAGTTTTCCAGGCTGCTTTCACATTTCTCCTCTCCTGAAGGGGCCTGGTTGCTGTTGCTCACTGCGGAGATCAGCGGCAGTGCCGGGTTCCCGAGGGGACTGGGGAGCTTCGTGTCCGGAGTGTGGTTGAGGGGACTTTTGAGCAGCTGCGTGGGTGGTAACAAGGGAGGCCTGGGGTACAGAGAAGGTGGAAAAATCCCCGGGAATCCCGGGGTGAGGGTGGGGAAGGCTGGGGGGGCTGGTGAGAACGGGAGCCCGCCGGGGTGCGGGCGGGATGGGAAATACTCGTTAAAGCCCAGGCTGGCGTGGTTGAGATTGGGAGAGGGCTTGGATTTGTCCATCATGGAGGTGGGTGTAAGGGGGAGGCCAGGGGCGAAGATACCGGCAGGGCTGTAATGGTTCTTGCCCTCGCAGAAGCGCCGGTGCTTGTTGAGGGAGGAGGTAGTGCTGAACATCTGCCCGCAGTCCTTGCACTTGATCTGGGTGCGGCAGTCCGCGTGCATCCGCTTGTGGCGGCACAGGTTGGAGAACTGCGTGTAGGATTTGTGACAGACCTCACCTAAAGCGTCAACAGGAACCAACAACAAAAGCGATATGAAATTAACAGGAAAATAGCAGGGATTCACCACGGGATTCACCAGCCCACGCCCACACCGCCCCGCCCGCTCCGTCCCTGGGATGTCCCTTCCCCGAAGGCAGAAGCGGGGAGAGCAGAGGAACATCACCACCTTTCCCTTTGGATTAAGCCCATCCTGGAGAACCTCTCAAGAAGCAGCTCTGCAGAAATCTCAGGGGATGTACTACCTCTGCTCAAAGTTTGGGGGAATTTTCAGAATCATGGAATCACAGAATGGTTTGGTGAGGAGGAGCATAAAGCCCATCTCATTCCACCCCCTGCCATGGGCAGGGACACCTTCCGCTATCCCAGGTTGTTCCAAGCCTCATCCAATCTGGCCTTGGACACTTCCAGGGATCCAGGGGCAGCCACAGCTGCTCTGGGCACCCTGTGCCAGGGCCTCCCCACCATTACAGGGTGATGTTCTTCTGTATATCCATCTTAAATTCCTCCTCTTTCAGTCTGAATGTATTCGCCCTTGTCCTGTCACTCCAAAGTCCCACTCCAGCTTCCCTGTAGCGGCTTAAGATCCTGAAAGGTGCTGTGAGAACTCCACATAACCTTCTCCAGGCTGAACAGCTTCAAATCTCTCAGCTCAGATCCACAGGAAGATGCTCCAGTCCCCTCAGAATATCTCTGCCCTAATCATACTTTTTAAACGATAACATCTATTTATCCCAGTTCATCTGCTTCCCATTAGTCCTAGCATGGCAGGAAGAATGGAGGGCTGGAGGGAGAAGAACTTTGCCTCATTTAATCAAACCTGCCCTTCCTTAATGCCCTCAGTGGTACATAACCCCTCCAGGGGGATGTTCTATAAATCCCCTGCCCCCTTCTGCCAGGGCTGGGATCTCTTTTTTTAATCCATTAAATCAGTCCAACACCCCTGCCCTGCTAACTGAAGCCACATCAGCGTTTTCTTTAATGACCTGTAAATACCAAGCTTTCAAAACATGGATTTTTATGACCCCTTTTCACCTCCAGACTTTGCTGCTGTGGAAGAAACAGGGCAAATCGAGACAGAAATTCCACCCCAAACTTTTCTACACATCAAAACATTGTGAGTTTTTATTATCTGGTGCCTCTTTCAACATGGGAATAAATGTGGTAGTGAATTAACATACTCCTTCCCCCGGGGAACTGCTGTTATCACCCTTTTGTGAGCAGGGAAACCGAGACAAAGCAGGGGAAGGACATTGTTTGGGGTTGGACAGGCAAGGACAGGAATGCAAGTTCTGACACTCCAGCTCAGGGACTGCTCAGTGCTCCTTCCTTCCTCCCAGCTTTACTGAGAGGTGCATGTGAGCATGACTTTCCCTGTATTTTCTCTCAAATCTTTCCTAAATCTTTAAGATTTATTTCAGTGCTTGAATATCAAATGACTGGTGGGACAGTATTTTATTAGCAGCTCTGAAAATATAATAATATAATAAATTCCAATTGAAATTCAAAGCAGAGATGAATAAATTTTGATGAATTTGACATTTCAGTTCAGAGGAGCACCCCAAAATCCAAAAGAGTGTTCCTGAAGGATGTGGTTTCTGACTGCACTGTAAATTTAGGCTGCATTTTCTGTCCCCAGAGTATTTAATTGCTGGGCCTTGACACAACTCAGAGCTGCAGGGAAACATGAACAGGACAAGAAAGTCATCACAAGAGTTTGGATGTTTGAGCCAATCCTAATTTTTGGCAACCACGCTTTAAAATTTCGGATCAGATCTCCCAAACTGCTCTTAGTGCACACACAGAATTTTATGGCTGTTCTACGTATTATTTCAGCTATCTTAGACTTGCAAAGAAAAGGTTTATTTGGCTTTTTTACTCCATTTTAAAGTGTTTTCTTAAACAATATCGAAACAGAGTTCTTAAATTCAAGACTACTGAGTTTATTTTCCATGAAGATTCAGCACTACTGAATTTTATTTCCATTATAGTCTCTTAAATACAGCAGTCTCTGTTTTTTTTGTCAAGTGAATCAATAATCACCATCCCTGGAATTGCTCACAAAAACCTGTGGATGTGGCACTTAGGAAAGTGGTTTAGTGGTGAACACAGCAGTGCTGGGTTAAGGGTTAGACTTGATGACTTCAGAGAGCTTTTCCAACTTTAACCATTCTATGATTCCAGGATTCTTCTATTTTTCACCCCAGGAATTTTTGCTAGGTATATTAATACTGCACAAAATTCCCTAAAGAAAAGCACTAGAGCTCTGAGAGCTCCCATCATCCTTCTAAAATAAGGACAACTGGAAAATTTCTGTTAAATCTCCAGTTATCCAATGATTTAGTAATTCCACGTGGAACGGCCTCTCTTGCCCTCTTGATTTCTGCAGTTATAAAGTTACAGGTCTGGGGTCTTTTGAAAGCCAAATATAATATTGTAAAAAAATTAAACATAAACACACACAGACCCTTTTCTTCCACTGAACAGGGAAAAAAAGAACCAACTTCCTGGTGAATCCTGCCATGTGGATTTGGAGTTGTTAATGGATTCCACATTGATGGACAAAACAACCTGACACGTCTGACCAGGCGGGATCCCTCTGCTGTTGTTCCAAATGCTGATTTGCTCTGACAGCTCCCTAATTCTGATGAGGTGAGAGTGAGGAGATTATGAAGAGAAATCCCTCATCTCCCTGCAGCAATCCTGGGAGTCAAATTATCCCTTTCATGTGCCCAGTGAAAGATTGCAGCAAAATGAGCAAGAGGAGCATTTCTTCTTCCTCTGCTGACACCCAGCTGATTATCTCAGGACTCTGGTTATCTTGGGACATTAATGAAATGAGTCTCCCAGGATATTCCTGCATGCTGTTCCCATTATTCCAACAGGGAGAAAAAGGCAGGAGTGGGTTCAGTGGCTTCCCTACCATAACATCAAAGCCTGGAATCAAACCCAGATCCCAGCCTGTGCCTGAGCGACGTGTTCTGAAGTGTCAGGAAGTGATCCCTAAAGTTCCTGGAGCTTTGTTGTGACACCATCCACCTCTCTGCACAGTTATCCAAACCCAATGGGTGCTGTGTCAATTAAAAAAATATACAGCCCTGGGAATGACAAGGACTGAGATGGGTGGCTCTCCAGGGAAAATGCCCTTCTGGAAATATCCCACCAAGGAGAGCACTGAGGACACAGTTCATCTGCTGTTTATTTGGCTCCCAGCATTATCTAGATGAAACATGCAGTAAATAAAGGAGAAAAAGCTTTCTTTTTAAAAAACCACCTTCTCATCTCTGTGATTATTCCAAGTTCTTTACAATGGCTCTGGGATCTGAGGCACCCCTGTAAAACATTTCGATCAGGCTGTGCCAGCTATTTATTTATGTCACCAACAGGAACATTCAAAAGCGATTAAAGCAAAAAAAGACGAGAGAAAGAAAAGATATGAGAAAATGGCATCGCTATGACCGCTGAGAGACTCAGCTTTTAACTTGTCAAGAAAGTCAAAAATTGCTATGAATGTTTACTGAAAAAACAGGGAGCATGCAAAAAAAAAAAAAAAAAGGAAAAAAAAATCATCTCGTGCTCTATAGCTCTTGAGCTATAAAATTACAGAGGCTGGGGATGGCAGGGCTGGGGGGCCCCTGCAGGATCCCTGCAATTACAGCCAGCACAGGGCTGGTGATGGCCGTGACAACTTACATATGAAAGGTTTGACAGTGCTGTGGATGTGCTTGTGCTGCTTGAGGCCCGAGGAGGTGGCGAAGGTCTTGCCACAGTCAGGGCAGGCGTGGGCCCGTGCCCCCACGTGCTGTGAGCGGATGTGCCGCTGGAGGTTGCTGGGGTCCGTAAACACCTGCAGGGGAAAAATGCCTTAGGATGGGGGCAAAAGCAGGAGGAGAAGAGCCTACATGTGAGAAACTTATTTTGTTAGATTTTTTTCAGTGCTGCTCGTGGCTTGAGGAGCACGGGGTGGACAGGTGAGAAACAGGTAATGAAAGAACTCCGTTTGTGCCCTGCCGGGCTGTGGCACCTCCTTGAGTGTGTGGTGCTCATGGTTTGACAGGTCTTTGCTCACCCACATCTGCCCAGTACAGCCCTCACCACCACCCCAGTACCCAGCTGGGAACTTCCAAAGAGGAGTGGGTTGGGAGAGGGTTGAGCTCCACACCCCCAGTGGGATGTCCAGGACAGCAAGGACACCTCCCTGGAACAGGGACAGTGGGGTCACCTGTCCCTGTATCACCCTGCTCCTGGCCAGCATGGGCCACCCATTCCCTGCAGCCCTTACCCAAAGCCCAGCATGGTGCCTGCACCCTTTTCCCCAAATCCCAGCGCCCTCCCCCAGGTGAAGCCCCCCAGGGTGACCATGTCCTCACTGTACCTTAACACAATTTTCACATTCAAACCGTTTCCCACTGTCGTGAGACATTTGGTGACGAATCAGGTTGGATTTCCAGTTGAAAGCCTTGGGACACTGGTCACACTTGTACTCCCTCTCCTCAGTGTGGATCACCATGTGCTGCTCCAGGCTGGGAAAGAGAGACAGGATGACCTTCAGACCACCCAGAGCAGGCACTGAGGCAGGTATGAGACCCAGAGAGGTGACAGAGATGGTGACAGAGAACCAGCTGTTGGGCCTGGGGTGTTTCCAGTTACCTGGTGCCTCAGAGCAGGAGGGGAACAGCCCATTGACTGTAAGAAGGGCACTCCAACTGTAAGAAGTGACACCCAACACCATTTGAGGTTTTTGACATTTGTTTCACTGATGGAAGATGCTCTGTCCTGCCTCAAAATGATGCTGTGTTTTATGCTATTCCTTATTAATACCCGAGTCCATTCTTAAGGGCAAAAAGAAAAGTAAACTCGGCCCTGATCCTGCAGGCTCTTGAGGGGAAAAATGGGCACTTTGTGACCAGAACTTCTGTGGCATTCCCCTGGGGGAAGAAAAGATATTTGCTGCTGCTGAGACTCTCACGTGTCCATTTTCACAGGCGCCCGGCCCACGGCTTCCCAGAACACAGGGACTCACCGTTGGGAAGAAACATGATAAGGTGCAAACACGTTTCACTTCTAAATGTCAGACATCTTTGATTACTTCACTCAGCAATTTCTCCTTCTGCCAACTGGCAGCGTCTCCAGACTGGGAGGATGATGGCAATCCTGAGTGGCTGCTGGCACAGGCCACGGCAGGGGTGGCACATGGTGCTCCAGTGCCCTGTGCCATAGGAAACCTGCACTTCCCTGCCCAGGAATCCTGCATGTCTCAGGCCTTAAATCCTGCATCTCTCATGCCAGGAATCCTGTACATCCCAGGATGGGAATCCTGCTGCTCTCAGACAAAAATCCTGCATCTCTCATGTTGGGAATCCTGCATATCTGATGCTAGGAGTCCTGCTTCTCTCTGGCTGGAAATCCTGTTCCTCTCAGGCCAGGAATCCTGCACCTCTCAGGCCAGGAATCCAGTTCCTCTTAGGATGGTAATCCAGCACCTCTCAGACTGAAATCCTGCTCCTTTCTGTCCTTAAATCCTGCGTATCTGATGCCAAGAATCCCACTCCTCTTAGCCAGGAATCCTGCACCTCTCATGTTGGGAATCCTGCATCTCTGAGGCCAGGAATCCTGCACATTTCAGGTCAAGAATCCAGTTCCTCTCAGGCTGAGAATCTTGTTCCTCTCAGCCAGAAATCCAGCACATTCCAGGCCTTAAATCCTGCACCTCTCAGGCTAGAAATTGTGCTTCTTTCAGGCCAGAAATCATGTTTCTTTCAGGCCAGGAATCCTGCTCCTCTTAGGCAAGGAATTCACATATCTCAGCCAGAAAACCAGCTCAATTCAGACCTTAAATCCTGCACCTCTAGCCAACAAATCCTGCATCTCTCAGGCCAGGAACCCTGCACATCTCAGGCCAGGAATCCTCCATATCTACTGGCAGGAATCCTGCACCTCTCTGGACAGAAATCCTGCTCCTCTCGGACCAGGAATCCTGCACATCTCAGGCCAAGAATCCTGTTCCTCTCAGGCTGGGAATCCTGCACCTCTCAGCCATTAAATCCTGCCAGGATTAAAACCTCTCAGGCCAGGAATCCTGTACATCTCACGCCAGCCCTGAGAAGCAAGGGAAGGAAATCTGCATCCTCTGCTTCCTTTGGGGCAGGTTAACAGGAGTTACAAACACTACTCTTACTGTGAGTTCTAAAAAAACCCCCAAACAGCTCACATGGAATCTGCTCCTGCCTGACACCCCTACACATGGATATTAAACCATTCCTACAGAACTTTAAAGCATGGCTGTATTTTTATGGAAACATTAAAGCTGAACACTGCTGGAAAATCCTGCCAGTCATTAAATGACACAGGGAAAATACTCCCTGGGCATTTCTAGTGAGCTGAGGGGTTCAGGATCCCAGGAATTGTGTCAGCCTTGGTCACTCAACACCCAAAACTCCTCCCTTGGAGCACCAGCCCTGATCCCAGCCAGATAATTCATATTCATGGGCATGCCCCTCATAAACTGCCAACCCACTCTGAAAGCAGCAATATTCATTTTGCTTCAGAAATGGTGCTCTTAAAATGACCAGATTTTTAACACAAAGTAACACAAACCTTTCATATGCTCATCCAAAAATTCGCTCCTGTTAACTGTGATTTATGAGTTTATTTCGAGCAAATATAGACAAGCTAATATGCTGCTTACAGGCAAGTACCTACTGGGATTAGCAAAACATTTATTTATTTAGTCAGCTGCTAAATGCTCAATTTCAGGTCCCCAGTGGCATCTGTGATTTCATCTGTATTAACTTTGAAAAATTCTAAGACCATCGAGGCACTCTGAGCGGGTTTATTTAGTGTTTTAGTGACTTTAAACTTGGCAGATTGATGGAGGAGAGACTGATGTGGACATTTCCTCCCCACCCCACCAACCCACTAGCATGTCAAAGGCTGAATGGTGATGCTGCTGACTCTCTTTTTCCTTGTCAAAAAAAGTCAACTTTATATTACTTATCCCTAAATATTGTGTCTAAAAGGCAAAAAAACAAGGACACAGTGCCAGCTCAGACCCCTAGGGAGCCAGGAATACACAGAGGGTACAAATAGGATACAATACATACTCTTCAAAAGGTAATTTCCTAGTTAACATTAAAATTAGATAGTGCTGGCAGCTGAAGAGGAGAGAGCTCCTGACACTGATGGATAAAATAATTGGAATTTTTACTAAAATCCATAATATTGAAAACATTTGAATGAAGTTCTCTTTGTCTTGTCAAGTAAAAAATTAAGAGAATTCCAGCCTCTTATTTCTAATGAGAGACATTTCTAATGAGGTGATGGGGTAAAGATGCCACACTGGGCTAAGAGGGTCTCACACAGGTATCCCAGGATCCATCCCAGATTCTACAATTCCCAGAATGTTCTGTAGGCTTTACCTTTCTCTGCATTTTTTAAAATAGGATTTTTCCCCCCTCACTTCCTCACGCAGATGAAAGAGCTGAAAGTATCAATGTAATTAAGTTCAAAGTGACAAATGCAGGTTTTTAAATGTTAAAGTGAAGTGAGACAGGCCTTACATGGGCTTTAACCTCGAGGTTTTTGCTCTGTTCAGGCAGAGCCTGACAGGGGATTGCCAGTTCTCACAGTTTTATAGCAAATCTTGTGGTGCATGGGGCTTGTTCACCCAAGAAGGCAAAAGAAATGAGTATGTGAGAACTTCAGCCTCCGGTAAACACAGAAAACTCTGCTTGTATAGAATTTTATAAAGGCTTTTATCAAGGCTTAGGATGCAAATAAACACAATCTTAAAGTGATTAAAAAAACCCCTCAACTTTTAAAGTTGGCTCCTAATATTTAACTATTTGAGTCTCACTTTGCCAATGAATTAGAGAGCTCAAAGATTGCTATGTTAAAGCTGCGTTTCATTACTACCATATTCTTCCAAAAAAATTCAGATTTTCAGTTAAAACTTGAGTTAAAATATTTTCCCTTTTAATGAGAAGTTTAATTCTTGCTTAGAGTTGCAGTATAATCATAATAATAACTGAATAATTGTTGCAAATGAAAAAATGAGCCAAAGAATATCCAATTTTCTTTTTTCTTCTTTTTCACATTGCTGTCACAATAATGTTTGGTGGACACAAAGAAAATTAAAAATTTGATTGGATTTTTTTTAATTGTTCCTGCCAGATCAAATAGGAGCTTGTGACCATATTACAAGTTCTTAGGGCATTGACACCTCTTTAAACCCACTCATCTCAAATCACTAAGAATTAAATTTAAAAGAAGCCTTCATGCACATTTTGACTGAACTCATATTGGTGTTTCTTTCCTTCAGAACCAGAACACAAGAGAGCAGATGGTGGAAAGATCCCACCCAGGTCTCTCAGAAAAGAACCCCTTAAACTTCCCACCACCAACCCTTGGGTGCTTCTACCAACGGGCAAAGAAAAGCCTCAGCCTATGAAATGTGGAATAAAAGGTGGAATAAAACACTGCCCAACACCTACAGAGGGTGAACATTCCTAAACCTTGTAGGGAAAGGAAAGGTTACTGGGGAGAAAGGAAAGGTTGATCCCAAAAGGAGCATTCCTAAAGCCTGAGGAGGAAGGAAAGGTTTCTATGGAGAAAGGAAATGTTGATCCCAAAAGAATATTCCTAAGGCCTATGGAGGAAGGAAGGGTTTATACCAAAAAGAGCATTCCTAAAGCCTATGGAGGAAGGAAAGGTTTCTATGGAGGAAGGAAAGGATTCTATGGAGGAAGGAAAGGTTTCTATGGAGGAAGGAAAGGATTCTATGGAGGAAGGAAAGGATTCTATGGAGGAAGGAAAGGTTTCTATGGAGGAAGGAAAGATTGATCCCTTCAGTCCTCCCCAGAATCCCATCCATCCCCCTTTGGCCAGGATGGAGAGGGGAGGCCAGAGGAGGGTCTGGCTCTCTGTGGGTACCTGTATTTATTGGGGAACATCCTCTCACAGTCCTTGCACTCGTAGACCTGTCCATCTCCGAGGCCTTCCTGCTTGATCTCCTCGCTGAGGCTCTCGTACAGGGCCCCCACAGCACTGCAGCCGTACTTCTTGTGGCGCCGCAGGTCCAGCTTGGACTGGAACAGCTCATCGCAGTCCTCGCAGCGGAATGAGGGCTCCTCTGCAACACACACACCAGCCCATGGTCAGCCCTGCCCCAGGAAACACAACCAGCCCAGGCTGTTGGACCCAGAGAGGAGGCAAAGCTCCCCAAGTCCAGCAAACAAACAAAGAGCGAATTTGCAAGTGAGAGGGGAGAGAACCCAAGGGAGGCTGTGCCAGCAGCTGCTTTCACTTTAAGCATTAAGAGAGAAAAAAAAAAAAATTAGATCACACAACCAGAGGAGATCTTGTTTTCTTTGTGTCTTGGCCTCTGCTGATGATGGAGAGACCTACAAGGACTGGGAGACACACAAAATTCTGGGCTCACTCTGGAGTGCTGCGCTTCTCTGCAAGGAGAGGGTTTGAAATTATGAACGAGTTTTCCTCAGAAGGGGCTGCCAGGGAAAAAGGAACAAGCCAGGCTCACATAAACACAGATAGCGAGAAAAGCAAACTGCCACAGCACAAACCTAAAGAAGCTTCTTTCTAAGAAATTGTCTGTCTAATGCTCTCCTCTTAATTTTCCACTGCAGGAGCTCAGGGCTCCATCAGCCTGAGGAATCCCAGCCCAGAGCACCATGGAAGGAAGAGAAGGGAGCCAAAGGTTTTGTTGCTGTGCTCTTTGCTTTTTTTCTTTTTCTTTATTTTTTTTTTTAAGTTCTAATGCACATAATAAATTACTGTAGTCAAGGTCAAACAAATTAAAAAGAGGGCAGCTATTATTAAGTTTACAAGGCAGCATCCTGACCGTGGTGCCAAGCCAAACAATCAGTTCAGAGCTGTAAATTTTCCAGGAGAACAAGCTCTGCGAGGGAGTCGGGATAGCTCTGGGTTTCTCCACCCTGGAACAGAAGCTTTCCAGCCCCCTCTGAGTCACTGGAGCCGCGTTTCCCTGTCCTCCCCTACTCTCTTCCTCCACGCTCCGCTGCTCTGCCTGGTTCTCTTTTTCTGATAACTTCAGTCCCAGAAGGGGCAGCCTGTGGTGAGTGCATTATCTCTGAGGGAGGAGTGGGAATATTCTGAGAGCTGAAGGCGATGCTGTGATGGAGCTGATCCATTCCCTGCTCTGGGGAGAGGGGATCTTGGGGTGGGATGTGGCCACACTCAATTCTCAGGGCAAAATCTTCAACCCCTGAGCAAACTTTTGCTTTAAAGTCCCCCCCACCTTGCACTTGTTTAAGCCAAATTTTGCACAACTGCAAACACTTAGGCTGAGCATTAAGGCCTGGAATGGTGCTTTATATAAATCAGGGATAATTTTGTTATGAGTGTGACAGGAGTGAAGGCATGGGCAGTGTCACACTCAGAGACCTCCGTGCTCCCACATGGGCACTCACCTCCCATCTCCCTTTCTCTGCTTAAACCTGAGTTTAAAACTGAGCAAGGCAAGGTCCCAGAGGCTGCAGCAGCAGCAATGTGGGCAGAGGAAACCCTCTGCACACTCTGCACACCTACACAGAAAGTATTGACATGGGGAAACTCAAACCCAGCTGAAAAAGAAAGTATCACCAAAACTTAGCCAGCACAGCCTTGCTGGGCATCCCAGCAGCCTGCCCAGGGCTCCCAGAGCCACCCACACCAGGCATGGGTGATCCCACAGCACCCACAGGGCTGCAGCAGCATCTCCTCAGCTGCACAACAGAGGCGTGCAAAAAAAAATAAAGTCCAGAGGGTCAACAAAGGGATTTTGACTAAAAAAGAGGACCCGAGGGAAGAAAATACCCAGTCGTTCTCATTTCAGCTCATTTTGAGGGTTTATACACTCTGAAATTGCTGGGAGCAGCCTCACCACGAGGTGCTCTGCTCCTCAGAGAAATTCTCTTTACTGCACTTTGTAGAACAGGAGCAATGTGTATCTCATGTGTTTTACATCCCTGGAGAGGGAAACCTGGAAATCAGGACACCAATAACAACAGTGTGGAGAGACTCTGCATCACCTGCCATTAAAATAATCCAAACTACTTTTTATGAGTAAAAAGAAGAAAAAGAAAAAAAAAAGAAGAAAGTGTAGCACCAAACTCCAGAGCCATGGAACTGCTCTGGTGAGGTGTTTGCCCCAGAGCCAACATCTCCCCTCTTTGCCCTCCTGTAAATGCAGCAGTGGCTTAATCAGGAAGGAAATTTTGGAGGAAGGACTGAAATCCTCCAGGCTGGGAAGCCCCAGGTCTCTTCACCTCTTAACAAGCTCCTACCAAACTCCCTGTACCCCTCAAGCTCCACCTGGCAAATCCCCAGACCTGAAAACACTTGGAATGGAGGAAACAGATTTTTTTTTCCTTTTTTTGACTTCAGAGAAAATACAACAAAATTCATTCCACAAATCCAGGTGGAATTGTTCCTGCTTCAGTTTGGGATTTACATGATTTATTGCAGTTTATTTCACCCAAACTCACCTCTAGGAAACAGAAATCCTCTCTGGGTTTGGAAAAGCATCCATGGAGAGTCATTTCCTCCATACCTGGCTGAAGCTGGATCACTGACTCCCCTCCCACAGCACACCCTGACACTGCCCTGCCTGCTCTTACCAATGACAATGACACATTTTTGTCCTTTCTGTGAGCTTACAGAGCAGGGGAGTGGATGAAACACACTAATAGCCTCAGGAGTATTTCAGAGCAGAGGTTTTCCTTCTAATTCACCTCATCCTTTGCCAGATCTCACACAAATCACACACAACACGAGGACATCAGACACAGTAGCTTTTCCACAGGTGGAAAGATGGAGGATAGGAAAAGCCGTTCCTGTGCTTTAGAGTATCTGGGTTTGGAAAAAGAAATTTGTACTGAAAGGAGACTTAGAGAGCTGACAAAAATATGATTAAAAGCCTTGTAGCCACATGTTATTCATGTTGCCATTCAGGTTTGAAAAAATCCTGTTTTGATGCTCAGACAGGCTAAAAACTGATCAGGTGGGAGAGCAGCTGAGGGTGGGAGGCTCTGGGAGAGCTGCTTTGGGAGAGCAGCTGTGGCTGCCCCAGGATCCCTGGAAGTGTCCAAGGCCAGGTTGAAGGGGGACTGGAGCAGCCTGGGGTAGTGGAACGTATTGCTGCCCAGAGTGGGGGGTTGGATAAGATCATCCTTCAGGTCCCTTCCAGCCCAAATCACTCCATGCTAACATATCCATATCCATATCCATATCCATATCCATATCCATATCCATATCCATATCCAATCAGCACGGAGGCTCAGAGCTGAACTGAGACCTGGTATTATGTTGTGACTTTGTCGACTCCAGGTTTGTTCAACTGTTCTTTTTTTTCTGCCTGTAAGTACCAAAAATAAAAAGGTCACCCTTCAAAAAGAGTTCTCATTAAAGTTTTCCCCTTTCTTTAAGCATCACAAATGAAAATACTGCCCTTCACAAAGGTAACTGCCTCGGTGTGTGACAGGGAGAAGGGGCTGCAAAGAAAAGAACAACCCCAGTTACACCGAAATTGCTGCCTGTTCTCTGTGTCGAGTTTGTCAAATCTATGGTTATATGTGCCTATCTGAAGTTCCATCAGTAACACTCAGGACAAAGCAGGAATGTAACAGAAAAATAAATCAGTGCCTAATAGCTTTCAGAGAAACCAAGGGGAACACAATTATGTGGCATCTACATGCTAATCTACCAGACTCGAATCTCAAAGGAGTTCAAGTGCCCTACTCAAAATTCCTGCAGTGATAAGGGGTCTGCTGTGTTTGGCTGGGGTTGGGAGGAAAGATTTTTATGATAATTATCTTTGTGTGGAACAATTTTGCATTTTCTCTCCTGTTAATTCCGAAGTGAGCTGGGGGTGCGAGGCAGCAGGAAGATAGCCCTCCTGAAAGTAAAAAGTATTAAGGAGTCAAATATTTAATGTTGGCCTGGCATAATTTGACAGCAATTATGCAGCAAAAGCACTAGACGTTACCAGGAAGATCCAGATAAATGTTCCATAATGACAGAGATGGAAAACAAGGAGCACTTTTTGCTTGTTCACATAAAAGCCTGTTAGAAACTGAAATGCAGAACAGCGGTGAGTTTTCATTCAGATTTCTCCTTGACATCAAAAACAACAAAAAAAAAGGTGCAAAAATTATTCACTCTGTGTGTTGGTCTTGACAAAATCATTAACAGTTTTTTGGGGGGAATAGCAGTGGAAAAATAGTCCCAAACTTGATATGAGAGGGGCAGCAAATACCACACTTTACCCCCAGCCCTTCAGAAAATGAACTTCCAGAGCACAAATCCTCAAACTATCCCATTTTCTTGAAATACTGGAAACTAATTGTCCAAGATTTTACTGCAAATTTGCAACAGAAATTATACTTATGGACAGGTAAACAAAAATAAATGTATTGTGGGATGCCCAGAGAGAACTCCAGTTTCATAAATTAATTTTATAGAGCTTACTAGTTTAAAAACACCTGGTAAATGAGAATGTATTTATAGAAATAAATCACTGAATAATGATGTTGGGCACATCCTTCCCAGTTTTCCTCAGAGATCACTTCCTTGCACAGCATCTGTAGTGTCAGAGTCCTGGATGAATGTGGGAAAAAGCATCTTAAGAGAGGAAAATCAGTGCTGGGAGCACTCTTACATTTCCAGAACACTCCATGTCCTGCTACCTGCTCACAGCTGCTGCAGAGAAAGATGGGGTGTCTTTATTCCAGCAAGAATAATTTCAGTGATGACTCTTCCCCCCCTTGGCTGGACCCCCATTTTTCAGATTCCCTAAATCTCTGCAGGCTGCTATTTTGCAAGCCTTGGGACAGTTTGGCCATTTTTATTATACCCAAAGGCACCTGGTGACCCTGGGGATGGAAAAGTCACCTCTGATCATATCCAAACTCACAAAGAGAAGGAAATGAAGCTGCTCAAGGCTGATAAAAACTCGGTATTGTGGACTGAGCCTCTCTCACCAGGGAAAGAGTGAAAATGAACGCAAAATCCAGACAATGACAGAAAGAGCAAGTCCTGGCTGAGGTTTTGTCCCAGTCCTGCCCTGGCTGAGGGCCCCAGCAGTGCCAGGGGTGCTGCAGAGAGGAGCAGAAGCTGCTGGGGAAGCCTTACCTTCCATGCTGGGTGCCATGTTCCCAAGGGAATAACCTCCTTCCTTCAGACACACCAGGAGCTCTTCTCCCGGCTCAATCTCTTTAATAACTTTATAATAGACCTGGGAATCACAAACAGAACAGACACATTAAATATGCAAAGGCCTGTGTTTTATATTTTAACCAATAACTCAAATTACTCTGGCTAATAGGGGAGGCTGTCCCTTGATTTGGGATAATTGCTACTCAGAGCTCGTTTTCCTGCTTTTATTTGACTCCTTGGGTGTCAGAGTTTCACAGGGTTTGGACAATAAAAAAACGTTTTGGGAACAGCTTCTCTCCCTCAAATTACAACAAATCTTCCCATTTTTCTTCCTGTCTTCCTATAAGCTTGGTGTGTTTGTCACAGTGAAGGGAAGATTAAACTGATGGAATTGTCACGTTTAAGGCTCTGCTCTCTGAGCCAAAATTGGCCTCATGATTAGAGTCGAATTATCCCATCTCCACAGAATTATTTTGTTGATTATTCTCCCCAACAGCCCAGACCTGACCCCTAAACACAGACACTCACTTCAGGTGAGCAGTTTACCCATGTTCTGAGCTCCTGTCTGAGCACAGACCCTGGACCTTCCAAAATGTCCTGAACACAGCTCTGTTCACCTCCTGGACCTTTGTCACTGCACCAGGAGAAAATCCCAAACAGAAACAGGATTCAGACAAGGACAGAGCCCATGCACTTCATCTTCACAGTTCTACCCCCAAACCCCACAGAAAGCAGGGCAGTGGGTCCAGTGATAGCTGGGTCACATCTGAGTGGATCCCTGGGTCTCATTCCCTCCCCTGCACCTGCTCCAGGAGCTCCATATCTTTTGTCCTGAGGAGATTCAGTGTCTTCCATATGTTTTGGGGTACACTGGACCCTGTCCTAACACAGTACCCTGAGAATTCACCTGATAGCGGTTATTAACTTCCAGCATTTAACAGCAATCCAAGAAATTATTTTTCAGGGTAAAAACCACATTTCACCCAGAGCAATTCCCTAAATTTGCTGTCACTGCCTCTGCCAGTCTGTGTTTATGGGGAAGGAACACATACAACTCCTAAATTCCTGCCTGGGTTGCATTAATTGTGTCACCACGATGCATTTCTCTTCCAAGAGTCCCTTTCCCTCCCTCCCTGGCACGGAACACGAAGCTTTGGCAGATTCGTGGCCCCAGGCCCGGCGGGAGCAGCAGCTGCCAGGGATGCTCCGGAAATTGTCCTCTCTGTCCCGGAGCTGTGGCTGCAGGGAGATGTGAACACAGGGAGAGGGATGCAATTCCAGGGACAGGCGGCGGCGGGGACACGGGGCACCGCTCCCAGAGCTGGAAGGACAGGGGACATCCCTCCCAGAGCTGCAGGGACAGGGGACATCCCTCCCAGAGCTGCAGAGAGAGGGGACATCCCTCCCAGAGCTGTAGGGAGAGGGGACATCCCTCCCAGACCTGCAGGGACAGGGGACATCCCTCCCAGAGCTGCAGGGACAGGGGACATCCCTCCCAGAGCTGCAGGGACAGGGGACATCCCTCCCAGAGCTGCAGGGACAGGAGACATCCCTCCCAGAGCTGCAGGGACAGGGGACATCCCTCCCAGAGCTGCAGGGACAGGAG